TGTTCTTTTCACCCTTTCCTTTATTGGATAAAAGAAAAGTCGGTGGCGACTCTTGCTATCCACAACATTTGCGATAAAACGCAAAACCCAAAAGTCAGTTCTCCTACCGTATTACAGAACTGGCGACTCTGCTGGGGAAATTAAAACTAAAAAAGGGGGGTTACCTTAAGAGCTAAGATCACCTTTATTGCTTTACTTGTTTTCCTTGTATGCTTTATATTTCGGGATATGCTTGTGTTTTTTTCTTGTATAAATCCTACACCCAGATCCGGGGGCATTTTAGGTAAGTAGCAATAGATCGTGGAAATTGTACGGAATAGACCGATATGGTTGAAGCAATGACTACGTTAGTGCGACACATTGGTTGGTACTGGTGTCCCTTTAGTAAGTCAAGGAGAATGCTAGGCTGTCACGTGGTGTCATAAGCACTAACTGACCTTATAACCTTAGTTGACACAACTTAGCCATTAGAAATTAGTGAGGTAGCTGGCTTTGGTGCAGAGTGAAGTTGGTTGATACTCGATACTACACTCATTGAGATTGAACTTTCAAGATATTTCGGTCGCAATTTAGATGCTTGTGCTGAAACAATGCCTGAGAGAAAGATCAGTGATATTGAGGCTCCTAGAACCTGATTACTTCTTTTAGGATAGGTTGAGACAACTAAAACTTCAAGAGGGTACTTACCTATAAACTCCATGCAAGCTTAAACCTAAGGCCTTGTGTGTCTTGTTTGTGTTTAATTAAATTGTTTGAACATGACATCATAACATCATGACATCATACCATACCATTTTCACTAACTATTTCAAGGACATGGGGATTTATCTTTGTTCTGTTTTGTAGGTTATGGCCTCCACTCGCAGAAACACTATTCGAATGAGTTTTTTAAGGGTACCTTCTCAACTTAAAGAGTTAGTCTCAAGAGTTCCTGAAAGCCCTCCATTCATCAAAAGGAATTGTCGACTACTCATTTTGGTTACCTTGGGTTTTGAAGAAGACTTTATGAGTGTTCTATTCCAGTTATTTGACCCTGTATATCACTGTTTCACTTTTCCCGATTATCAGTTGGTACCCACAACGGAGGAGTTTTCTTAATTAATGGGAGTACCTGTTCTTAATCAAATACCTTTCACTGGTTTAGAGGAAGATCCACAACCTGGAGAAATTGTAACAACCTTACATCTAAAGTGGCCCAACATTGTAGCTAATTGGGAAACAAGGAGTGGAGTCAAGGGTTTTCTAGCTAAATTTCTGTTGGAGAAGGATCAACTGTTTTTGGACGCTATGAGTTTTCAAGCTTTTGAAGAAATCTTGGCTTTATTGATCTATGGGTTGGGGCTATTCCCTAATCCATACCAACTCATAAATGTAAACGCCATCAAAAAATTTCTTGCTCATAACCCTCTGCCTACTTTTATCTAAGATATTTTGCATTCTCTTCACACTCGTACTATGAGGAAACGAGGGACTCTTATATATTGCATACCTTTGCTGTCTAGGTGGTTTATTTCACACCTTCCTCGATCAATATTGAAGAATGAATGAGGTTTAAGGTGGTCTCAAAGGATGATGTCACTCTCTCATTCGGATATCTATTGGTGTTCCAGGTCTTTGGAAGATGGTGCTATCATTGACCATTGCAGGGAATTATCTAATGTTCCACTCCTTGGCATTAGGGGAGGTATTACTTACAACCCCTATTTAGCTCTGCGACAATTTAGTTATGCTCTAAGAGATGGTCCCCGTGACATACTTATCTAGGGTATCATGTTCGACTACGAGAATGATTTTTAAGGTTATCGTTAAAGGTTTATACGAGCTTGGGGCTTGGTAAACAAGATTGATAGCAAGACTTTAGGACATAAGAATTCTATCCCTCTGGAGCCATATCTCAAGTGGGTACGATATCGTGCTCAAAACCTTATGATGTCATATCCCGCCGTCTTACTGGTAACTATGGAGCCTGTTGCTGAGGGGGACATTCCTTATACCATTCTCCATCCAAACATACCCACTGACCTCGAAGAATTAAAGAAGTCCTGGATTCAACTTAAGAAAGAACGTGACACCTTTGAAGCTCAATTCTATGCAAGCGAGAATAAAGTGTTGGAGCTCACAAAGCAACTTCATGAGGAGCAAAGCCTTAATGTATACATCGACACGAAGAGGAAGCATTCATGGGAGACTTGAGTCTTAGGTTTTAGGAGTTCATTTTGTTTTATCTTTGAGACCTTTTTGATTTTTCACTGTAAGCCCAAGAGGCAATTGTAATTTTGGACTTATTAATGAAATCTTTGTTTTTGTTTCCTTTTGGCTAGGAAATTTAAATCTCTTAAGGTCCTTGAAAATATTGCATCCATATATCATGCATCGTCTCATAAGCAGGTTTTCCATTACAGGTTTCCTCATCTATTTACTGTTTATTTCAGTATAAGATGACTCACGAACAAACTGTCAAGGATCTCCAAACTCAGCATGCACAATTTCAAGATACTCTTCTGAATCTGGCTAAAGGAAAACAAGAGATGATGACACTCCTCACCATGAAAAAGAAGACTAAGAAGTGGGTTGCTATCCTCAACATGGGAAGAATATTCAAAGGTCCTGCTCAAGAGGAGGATGATAGAAGTGTCAAGGGTGAAGGTAAAAACAATCAAGGTTCCGAGGATGAAGACTACTCCGACGAACAGTACCCTAATGCAGATGACAAGTACAAACAATTGGAAGACCGACTCAAAGCTGTGGAAATCCAGAAAGTGCCTGGATTAGATTTTGGAGAACTAGGTTTAATCCCAGGGGTGGTCATCCCTCACAAATTCAAGGTCCCTATCTTTTCTAAATACGACGAGGTCACTTGTCCTAAACTCCATTTAAGGTCGTATGTTCAAAAAATCCAACCTCATACTACTGATAGGAAATTATGGGTCCATTTCTTTCAAGAAAGTTTGTCCGGTACTTAACTTGAGTGGTTCTATCAGCTGGAAGGAACCAACATTCACACATGGAAAGACTTGGTTGCTGCTTTCTACAAGCAGTATCAATATAATTCCGACCTTGCACCAACTCGTGTACAATTAAAAAACATGTCCGTGGGCTCAAATTAAGGGTTCAAGGAGTATGCACAAAAGTGGAGAGACTTAGCTGGAAGTGTGCAACCTCCTTTTACTGGTCAGGAATTGGTGGATATGTTCATGGGCACTCTGACGGGTCCATTCTTTAATTTTCTAATTGGGAGTTCTTCATTAGGGTTTACTGAGTTGATTTTGACTGGATAACAAGTTAAAAGTGGTATTAAGAGCATAAAGATTCCAATGGATACATCTTCTAATGTCGTGAAGAATCCCTTCACTGGTAAAAAAGAAACTAATGTTGTCTATGGCCAGAAAATTCATAGTAAGAATGATCACCATCAGTCTGTGGGGGCGGTATTAATCTCTAATCCATCACTTGTTCAACAATAACAACAACAACAATAAGGCAACCAATGTAGTTCAGACGCTCCGAGGAGGCAATTCACCAAAATTAATATGCCATTGGCTTAATTATTGCAACATTTGTTAAATGCTGACCTCATAACACTCAGAGATCCTACTTCTAATCCTAACACATCCTCTCTGAAGTACAATCCAAATGAAAAATGTGCCTATCATTCGAACAGTCCCGAGCACGACACCAACAATGGTTGGGCCATGAAAAACAAAATCCAAGACATGATTGATAACAAGGAAATTGAGTTCGACCCTCCTGAGACTCCAAACATGATTACTGCTCCTATACCGAAGCATGACAAAGGCATAAGTGCTATTGAAGATGTTTTGTATGTTACCTCCGTAAATGATATGGTTACTCCTCTCTCAACAGTCAAGAAGAATTTACTACAAGTCGGCTTATTTTCGGGTTGTGTTAAAGAATGTTATTGTTGTGCGGTTCAACCCAATGGATGCGAGTTACTGAAGGAAGGCATTCAACGCCTGATGGATGAACATATTATTCTGATTGAAAAAGTCCAGTCTACTAAAAATTTATGCCGAGATTTGTCTGTCATATCTGGTACTCCTTTCAAGATCACCTCCAAGGGTCCTATAAGGATTACTTCCAATCCAAATTCTGCTCCCTTAATCATTACAAAACTTGGGCCCATCCCATATTCCTCAGAATTCCATGGAACTATGGGCATGACGTCTATTACCATGGTATTAAACAAGAGTTGTCTAACGAAGATGATGAAGATGTTGATCCCAGTATTGTCAATATTACAGGGACCAGTAAAATAACAAGAAGCAGAAGGATTATCTCCCTATAAATCTCACAACCTGTTCAAGTCACAATTACCAAGACGACTGCCGAAGCTCGAGGTAAAGAGCCAATGATATAGCCTGCCCAAATGGAGGCACCAAAAGAAGCTACAATCAAGGATACCTCTAGATAAGAAATGGAAAAGGTTTTGAAGATCATTCGTAGAAGCGATTACAAATTTTTTGAACAGCTGGGAAAAACCTCATCCAAGATCTCTATGTTATCCCTGCTACTGTGTTCTGAAGCTCAGGCACAAGCTTTAATGAATTTTTTTGAAGACTGCTCATGTACCACAAGAGATTTCTACCGATCAATTTGGAAGTTATATTGCTAGCCTAACGACTTGACAATGGATTAGGTTTATCTAATTGGAAGGTATCATAGTTTAAATTTTGTTCTAATTGTAGGAGATGAGCATCCAAAAACCATACTCAAAAGAAGATATTGATGACATCCGATCACGTCAGACCAGTGTCTTCTTATCTCATTATGAAGCTCGACAACCACAACAATAGTTTTTCTTGGTTGCTATAATCTTATTTTGTATATGAATAGAAGTTTTGTCATTTTGATGTGCATATATGATCATGTCAAACGAGTGTACTCTCTCTTGATGATAACAATGTAAATTTGCACATTTGGTTTAAAATGATATGATATATTCCAATTCTGTTACATATTTTGTAGTTTTTGTGTAAAAAATGATACTGGCAGGTTAATAGATTTATTATAATGATACGATACAGGCCGGTGAAAATGATACAGGCTAGTGAAATTGATAAATATAGCCAAAAAGCTTCATTTTAAACCCCTATCAATTATTACATAAAACCGAAGTAAATGAATACCTTATTACCTCAGATTATAAATAAAACTGACAGCTATATGACGCGCGCAACAAAATGTAGAAAATAAAAATATGGAGTTCCAAGGGATCGAACCCATGACCTTTTCAATTATAACCTCGGCGTTTAAAATAGCGAGGTGTTAAGTTGAGACTTTTCATGACGATCTTATTTAGCTCGCCTGGATAGTCGATGTAAAACACATTTTACATCCGACGTTACAAGCGTTATTTGTAGTAGTGAAATATGTTTTAAGTGTATATTATTTTTCATGAGAGTATTTATGAGATTCAACTTGGTGTTTCCTCAGGGTGTACTGACAAGTTCTCTAAATTATAGTGTCAAAACCATTTTATAGTCAGAACAATAATGTTCATATTTACACCAAATAACCTATCTTAAGAGGATTTGAAGAATAAGATGACGACATTAGTAACATAAACCTAAACCTAAATGATTATTAAATAAAAACAAAATCAATAATATAAATTATTAAATAATTAGTTTATAAATAAATGATTTATAGATTAATTATAAAAATGGAAAAATGTAAAAATTCCGCGGGAGTAGCAAATTGATAGAGCTCTCACTCGCTCTTCTTTTGTTCCCACCGCCAACAAACCCTTTTTCGTATAGTTTCTCAAAATCAAAAGCATTCCTTTTTGTGGTGAAAGTTTCATCTAAAGAAGAAGCTTCAAGGAATCAGGTTTACGCTCTTGTTTTTATTCTTCTTCATCATCATCTTCAACTTACTTATTTGAATTGAAGACTTAGGGTTTGTTTGTTTGGATTGTGTTATTTAAGCTTATCTATTTGAATTTGAGATATGACTGAAACAAAATGTTCAACATCTGCAGTGCTGTGCTGTTTTTGGGACCGAAATTCGGCCAACTGCGGAATGTGGAAGAACAATGTACATAATTCGCCAAAGAATAGACCTGTTACTCATGAGAATGCAGAAAAAACATGGTTAGTTTATTTTGTCTGGTGTAGTCAGTAACAAACTCAGGGAATATTGAACCAAGAGTTTTCCTTATTACGGTTTTTAACACTTTTCCTTCAACAACATATTTTCAATGATTAGTGTTATAACATGTCGAAATTTGTGGGGGAGTGCCTAGTACAAAGTAAGCCTTTACAACCACATCTTTTCAATCATCAGTTTTATAACATGTTCCAGCCTAATAGCATATATACTATACAAATTTATATCCATTAAGTCCCACATTGGCTAGAACATCACACAAACATGTGTTTATAAATGTTTGACATGCTAGTTAGTTTGCCGAGCTGAGTAGCGCCAGCTTGTGACCCATGTGGGGGCATCAAGGTGTTGGAACATGGCTAAGGCTTAACAGGTTGGTCTGGTAGTTGCACCATGCTGGCCTGCCCGCTCCAAGTTGCGAGTTGACCCATGGGACTTGTGCGAAGGCACGGGTCTTGTGAGTCTTAGACATGAGGGTATTGCGTGAGGCTGGTTTCACAGAGCAGCGATCACTTCCTACTCCTGACAGTGGGGGGATCACGGGCCGTTGCACCTCCGGCCCACAACACCTGGTGAGCCTAGCCCCTGAACCATCTCTTTTTTTTTGGTCATGTTTAACACAAAATTAGCCATCTCTTTTTTTGGTTCATATTAATGAATGATGTTATGTTTAACACACAATTAGAACTGATAACCTGGTGAGCCTAGCCCCTGAACCATCTCTTTTTTTGGTTCATATTAATACTTTTCTATTAATGCTGTTTCACTCTGACCCCAAGACATGAATGGGAGACTTGAAATTCAAGCCTCTTTTATATGGTCCGTCCAATTTGCCTCCTGTAGTTTGAATAAAAATATATGTGCATGGTAATGTTACTTGGACATGGTTTGAGCATGTTATATTGTTTTCCTTGTATTATTTTTTGTTTATGTGATGCTTATTTATGTAATGCCACGGGGACTGTAATTTCCCATTCTCTCTTTGAGCTTTTAAGATTATGGAGTTTGATGTTGCATTAATATTTTTGAGAAGAATAACCTTTGAACACATATGACTTTAGTACTTTGAGATTAGTGATATAATATCATGCTCAAATAATGCATTATAAGCTTTTCAAATAATCCATTTAGCTAATTATAATAATGCATTAGAAGCCTTTCAAATAATTTATTTAGTTACTTATATGACTTTTCTCCTATAGTCATGACTAATGGCTAATAATCACATTCATTATAGTGATGGTTAATCTCAACTTTTTTAATATGACTTTGATACACTTTGAGATCAGTGATATCATTTCATGCTCACCAGGTTATCAGTTCTAATTAGAGGCCTAATTTAGTGAATATTGTATGACCAAGTTATTGTACATTACATGTGGTGTCATTTTATATATATGAACTTCAAAATTCTTTTTTAAAACGTAAAACAGTGTACTTTATGTTTGATCCGTAATCTTTGAGACATGATTGAATCAAAATGTTTAACATCCACAGTGCTGTTTTTGGTTGAAACAAAGGTTCATGTGTTGAGAAAATTCCAAAAAGTTCAATAAATTCTGATTTGAAGATTTGTGGTAAAGATCATGGTCATAGAAGAGTTCTCTTTGGTTATAAATATGTAATGCTCTTGGTCATTATTGTTATCTTCATCACCGCGGTTTTGATGTGTAGAAGCTTCAGGATTCAAAGGGCAAACAAGTTACAAAAATGTCAAAAGGAAGCAAGTAAAAAAATGGAAACTAGCATCTTTTCACAAGTGGATATTGGTGCTGATGAAATAAGTCATTTGGACGAAGATAATTTAATCGGCCATGGTGGTAACGGAAAGGTTTATCGAATCACGCTGAAGAAAAACAGGATGGTAGTGGTTGTGAAGCAATTAGAGAAAGGTGATGGTTGAGGATTTCAGCTGCTTGATGAAGATTATGTGACAAAAATTGCTGATTTTGGTGTTGCTGAAATATCTCAGACGGGTTTTAGCTTTTTTGCTGGTACACATGGTTATATTTCTCGAGGTATGAAATTGTAATATAGGTTAGGACTAAAGAATTAATGGCATCTCACTGTTATCCATTACTTTCCTGGATTTAATACTGAATTACATATAATCATGCAAAAATACAAAAATACATGCAAAAATACAAAAATACATGCAAAAATGCAAAAAAACAAAAAACGTAATGTTGTGCTGGATTAAGTAAATATTTTCCTTTATTACTCAATTGCTTATTAGAATAAGAAATTAAGGATTGGTGACTTGTTTCTTGTAACGACAAGATAGACATGACATTCTCATATGAAATTGTAATCTGCAACGCCTAGTTTGAGGCAAAAAAATGCTTTAATTTTGAAGCATCCAATTTGCTAGGAGTATATCTAGATTAGAATAAAAAAAATAATGGTATCTTCCTGATAACCCTAATGTCCATTACTTTCTTGTTTAAATGCCGAAGGAATGCTAAGTACGAGGAAGCATTAGAGTGATTTGAGTCAGTTTTGGGAACAAAGCTATAGCCCGATTAAGCAGCAGTGGCAAGTTATAATGTTGCTTGTTGTTACTCTAAGCTAAACCAGGTAGGTATATATGTTTTTTCACTTTACAAATTGTATGTGCTACATTCCACTACTTTGTCATTGGTTTTGGATATTAACTTTTTGAGTGTCCAGTTATCCCTCTATATATGTAGATTAAATCCCTCAACCACATTTTTCAATGATTAGTGTTATGACATGTCAAAAGTAGTTGGGGAGTACCGAGTACAAAGCAAGCCATTTAACAAACCTTTACAACCACATCTTTTCAGTTATTAGTTTTATAACATGTTCCATCTTAATATTATATATCCTATACAAATTTATATCCATTAAGTCCCACATTGGCTAGAACATCACACAAAAAAGTGTTCGTAAATGTTTGACATGCTTGTTAGTTCGCCGAGCTGAGTAGCGCTAGCTTGTGACCCATGTGGGGGCACCAAGGTGATGGAACATGGCTATAAGGGTTAACATGTTGGTCTAGTGGTTGCACTATGCTGGCCTGCCCGCTCCAAGTTATGAGTTGAATCCACATGACTTATGCGAAGGCACGGGTCTTGTGAGTCTAAGATAGAAGGGTATAAGCTAGGAACACCTGGTGAGCCCCTAGGCCCCTGAAAAAATTTCAGATTAAGTCTTTTTACTACAAACTTGCTATTATATTAGAATACAAGTTGAAGATCACACTCTCATTATATTAGAATACAAGTTGAAGATCACACTCTCATTTTGCAACTTTTCTGTCTAAAAATTCCCGATGCAAAACTGTCATAGGAAAAAAGAATTGAGGGAAAATGATTTGAGAGAAGGTATTATGCAAGTAAAACTACAAGACTCAAAAAATTGTTTTTTTCTTGAATTGTTATTTCACATATGCCATTATTGTACATTTTTATGAAATTTAGTTTGCAATTGAAAGATATAACCATGCATACCTACAAAAATCATAGTGCTGGATTTGGTTAATCATTTCTTCTATTACTTAATTGTTTATTAAAATAAGGATTAAAGGATTGATGTCTTTGTCCTAGTAAAGACAATATAGGCATGGCAAAAACAAAACATCTTCCATAAGAAATTACAATCTGCAACACCTAGTTTGGGAGGAAAAATGCTTCAATTTTGAAGCATCAAATTCGCTAGGTGTGTACATATTTATATTAAGACTAAAACTATTGATGGCAAGTTATAATCTGCTACACCTAGTTTGAGAGAAAAAATTGATCTCACCGTCCATTACCTTCAGGAAGCATTAGAGTAATTTGAGTTTGTTTGGGGAACAAGATCAGAGCCTGATGAAGCAGCAGTGGCAAGTTATAATTTTGCTTGTTACTCTAAGCTAAACCACGTTCCATATGTCAAACAACTGGGCCAAAATTTGCACAGAAACAAACTTTATTGGCCAACCTATTGAGATTCCAACACTATTATTATTATTATTATTATTATAAAAAATATAAAAAACCATAAAAGTTATGATGTAAAAAGTATTTGAAGATTGGAATAAGAGGGGGCCGCGCGAACGCAGGCCCCCATTGCAACAAATTATGATGTAGGCTCCACCACTTGGGTAGACCTTAGGTTAGCACCCCTCTTAAGTGCAATGGAGGTCACTCTCCTAGGCCATGGTCCTTCATGATCAACCATTGACCCCATCCAGGTAAGTAAGTTGCAATGATGGTATTCAAGTTATTTTATACTCTTGCTTCTCTCAATACCTTTCACCTTCTTTCGATGTGTGACTCAACTACCTGTAGGCAAAGTATTTCCCAACTTGTGTAAGATTGATCGAAAAAGGGGTGCAAGTGGCTAGTGATTGTCAGTGGTCTAACTTGGAGTTGGAGACAGCAGAGCAGGTGCTGCTGCAGTGTAATAAGAGCATTTAGACTGCTACTAGGTAGGAACATTGGAAATAAAATCTTTCACATATTAAATGCACTATCAAAGGAGAAAAGGAGTATCTTTGCTATGATATTATGGAGTTTGTGGAAGAGTAGGAATTAATCAACTACCAGTAAGCAACGTATTTCCTAGGCCTTTGATAGATCTTGAGGACATCTTCCCCGACATTACATCTATTGCCCAATCGCTTTTTATATCCACTACTTTGTTATATGTTGGATACTAATATAGTCTGCTTCTAATCATTCCTTTCAAGTTTGACATTGTCCTTCAAAGAGCTCAATCAAAATGAATAGAGTAACTTGCTTCTATTCATTCCTTTCAAGTTTGACATTATGCTTCCAAAAACTCAATCAAAAAGATCAGAAAGGTATGAGTTGAAAATACTCTAGAGTCCATGGTACTTACAGATCAATATACCCTATTGATTATTCGAAAACTCGAAGAAATTAAAGATTGGATCTGACTAGCAAGGAGGATATGTATCCTTGATGATCACCTAAATTAGGGAAGGATTAAAGATCAAGAAATACTGCCTAATTCCTTTATTAGTTATTACTTGAAATGCAGAAGGTAGGATTCAGCTTTTCTTTCTAATTTTTATTTGTTAGCTTGTATAACATTATAAGTAGTATTATAACATTCCTATTCCTTTATGTCTCCATTAGGAAGTGGTTCATTTTGACTGAGTATTATAACACAATATAGCAAACAGTTTTATCATTTCATTTCTTCTATTAATTCAGATCCATAAAAATTGAGTATCTTCCTCTCTTCAATTCCTTTTTCTTGTGTGAATTTGTTTGATATAGTTTCTCTCATTTTCTTTGTTACAGTGAAATCTTGTGTTGACATACTGTTTCAGATCGAGTTTACGACTATAGTTCTCATATATTTTTGAGATAATGCAAGTATAGTTTTCTTAAGTAAAATATTCCTAGTTATAAACAAAACAAATAAATAAGAAAACATATATGCATAGAAACATGATGAAAAAATAAAAAATAATATAACATTTAAGAAAATATTGTGGATCTAGTAAGAAGGACATAGAATTTGAACTAGGTTTGGCGGGGAGTGCCAGGCTATTGCAACAGTGCAACGCAAAAACGACACTCGAGAGACCCAATAGCAAGCTATTTTGGTGGTCTCTCCCCCTCAAGAAATAAATTTAATATCGTGTGGACCATTGGCCCACATATCAGATATTAAACTGATAAGAACAGATACTACACTTGATCTTAGCCAAAAGGCCGAGAAAGGTATGAATTTAAAGTCATGCTTGTTGTCTTTTTTATATCAGATATGTTTTTTCTTCTTTGATAACTCGTCGATGTGGGACTTTAATACTATACCTTGGAGTTTGCTCAATACTTTTGTAATTTTCTCTTATGTAACAGTAATTAAACCAAGAGGAAGACTGTCTGGTTCATATACATTTTCTGTTTGAAGTGATTTTGTTCATGCAAAGAAGTGGATCACATTTTCTGCAACAACAGAATTAAATAGGTAACAATTCTTGTCGTCTTTTTTGGTTTAATTAATAATTTTGAAATATAACATTTGTTAGAGCAAGACTGAATCTAGAGTTTCCTGAAATGCCTCAAAACTAAAGCAGTAAAATCCCGGCAAAAGTTGAACTATTTCCCTAATTAAGTTCAATTTAACAAAAACCAAGTCCTAAGTCCTTAAATAAGCGGCGACTGAAAATTATTAGGCTTTTTTCTCAAATCAATGCACATGGTTTAGTGAAGATAGTTTTGACATTTGTGCATATGATTATGTATAACGTTGTATATATACTCATACACCAGAAGTCATTCTTTTTACTAATGAATGAACATTTATCACAATCTCTGTTTTTTGTATACCTTCATCATTTTATGAGAACAATTGTCAAATACACACATATTGAATTAAACTCTATAATGGAGTTTGGGAATGAATATTGTACTTGAGCTGAGATCCTAATTTATTCTATGTATGTCTGAAAACTAAATCACAATATTATGCTATCATATCATCACATAAAATATTATACCGACAAAACTTGAACATTTGAAGTACAATCAGTTTGGCATGCTTGTTACTAATCCTCTTACCATTATTTCCTTCATTTTTATCTTGCCCTTGGCATTTCATAATAGAAGTATATTCTTTAATAAACATGGCAGAAACAACATGTTTTTTTATGAAATGTTAATCTGCATTTTGTATCTTGGAATGTTATTTTCCTATACTTTCAGTCAACTCCTACTTGATTGAACCCTTGCATGCCTACTATGGCTGCAATATCGGCTGCAATATTTTTGGATTAGTGTTATAACATGTTAAAACTAGTTTGGGAGTGCTCAGGACAAAGTAATCCATTTAAGAAACCATGTGCCAACTTAATACTACGCAAATTTATATCCATTAAATTCCGCATTGGCTAGAATATCACACATGGTTACCGAGCTGAGTAGCGCTAGCTTGTGAATTGAAGGTCTAGGGTTTGTTTGGATTGCGTTATTTAAGCGTATCTATTTGGATAAGACTGTTTAGAAGGGTTTATGGAAGCAACATATCACATGTCTATAAGTTGTTTAATGCTTGTTTTGACATGCTCTCCATGATATCTTATAAACTACTTTATTAATAATGGTGATTTACAAATTTATTAAGAGCTGCGAGGGTATTATGTGAGGCTGGTTTCACGGAGCAGCGGACACCTCCTACTCCTGAGAGTGGAGGGAACACAGGCTGTTGCACCTCCAGTCCACAATATTGAAATAAGGAGTATAGGATTGGTGACTTTTTTCTTGTAAAGATATGATAGAGATGTAAGACACAAAACATTTGCCATATGAAATTGTAATGTAGATTAGGACCAAAGAATTAATGGCATCTTCTTAAGGTTCATTACTTTCCTGGATTAAATGCTGATGGAATGCCAAGTATGAGGAAACATTAGAGAAATTTGATTCTGTTTTGGGAACAAAGCCAGAAGTTGAAGAAGCAGCATTCACAAACACCATACCAAGTTTTTTCTCTATCATCTTCATTTGGTGAAAGATAGCTTTGTTGTCATGGAATGATTCAGTTCACATACTAGGTCCTGAATCACTATTGCCTCCAGTTTTGCCTGAGGGGAATTTTTCTATAATACATGATTAGTGAAATGAGTATTTTTTTTGGGTCTTTCATGTCTAGCCTTAGAACTCCTTGAAAATGTATGAATGTTTTTGCTTAAATTTCTATGGTTTACAAACACCATGATCTATACCCCTTTTGGATCCTTTCTCATATGATCCTTAATTTTACCTACAGTTTGGTGTGTGTCAGCTAGCGACAGAACCACTACACGTCCGAGTTAGATCCTAATATAGTCTGCTTCTAATCATTCCTTTCAAGTTTGACAGTCCTTCGAAGGAGTCAATCAAAATATTAGAGTAAGTAGTGTTTTTATATATCAGTCAATCAAAATATTAGAGTAAGTGGTGTTTTTATATATCAGTCAATCAAAATATTAGAGTAAGTAGTGTTTTTATATATCAGTCAATCAAAATATTAGAGTAAGTAGTGTTTTTATATATCAGTCAATCAAAATATTAGAGTAAGTAGTGTTTTTATATATCAGTCAATCAAAATATTAGAGTAAGTAGTGTTTTTATATATCAGTCCCTCAAAATATTAGAGTAAGTGGTGTTTTTATATATCAAGACAGTTTGGCCGAGTGGTCTAAGGCGCCAGATTTAGGCTCTGGTCCGAAAGGGCGTGGGTTCAAATCCCACAGCTGTCATCATTTTGTTTTTAAAATGTTGGCTTTTTATACAAGATCTCATTTATTTCATATATTTATTGAATGATAATTTACGGGATTAGAATTGCCCATGTTGGCTTTTTATACAAGATCTCATTTATTTTTGTAGTAGTGTTTCATTTTTTACCAATTGTGGGTGAAATGATAATTTATGAATATACTTCATATATTCATTGAATGATAATTTATGGGATTAGAATTACCCATGTTGGCTTTTTATATAAGATCTTTGATGTATTTATATTGTGCAGTGCCAGTAAGGTTGGTTATGAAAAACTTGAATCTGTCCACTCAAGTGAAGATTTTGGGAGTTTTATTGAACTTGCAGACATCTGAGTGAAGTTGGCTTCAAAGGTATGATAGTTCCCCAATTTCTTGCACCTACCTGCATTCTTCAAGTGAAGTTGTGCTTTCATGGATTGTTCTATTGATTCTGTTATACTTTCTTTTTTAGTTTGTTTTACTTTTTGTTGTTTCTTTGGCTTAGTGATGAAGACGAGTATGAGAATCTGATAGCCTTTTGGTGAAAACAGTTTTGAAGGAGTTAAGTAATATTCTTATGATTGTGGCTGAGTTTTTAGGGGGACTTAATGAACGTGTTGAGAAGGTGATGGATCAGTTACAATTTCAATCCAACAGTTACAATTTCTACACACAAATCTTTATTTTTTGAAATTCATTATAATAATCCTTCAGAATATTCATACAAGGAGTTGTACTAGACTTTAAGAAAAGATTAATAATGCCTGAAGTACAACGATGTTATACTTGATACAAAATCCTTGGAAACAATGGTTAACTTAAGATTGCTTCGGATCAATAATTATAGTGTAATATCGTGTGGACCATTGATTCACATATCAGATATTACACTTGATCTTAGCTAAAAAGCTGGGAAATGTATTAGTTGAAACCCATGTTTGTTGTGTCTTTTA